AAAGCGTCTCCGCGTTCCCCTAGTCTGATGGGGAGGAGTCCCACACAGCAGGCCAGGGGGACGGGGAGCAAAGCCTCGGAGGACACCGGCAGCGGGACAGCCGCAGACCAGGGAGACGCGGAGCAACTTTTCTCGCCCCGGACCGTGGCGCATCTGGGCATCCTGCCGCAGATGCGAGAAAAACCCCGTTCGTAACTGCGGATCCGACATAAGTCAGATCCGCGTAACTCGGGGACTGCCTGTATGTGTATGCACATGTAGATTTTCAACAAGGATATGGTCAATGAACTTTTCATAAAGTTCATGATAAATGATTTAGAGTATCTCCTATGCTGAACCTGTGTGAAGTGTCAAAGCCTTTCATTTACAGCACGGTGATCATTTCATTTCAGTTTCACATGCAAGGCCGACGTTGGTATCAGAAGGAATTCTTTCATGAAATGGCCTTTAACCTCACCACTTATGGACTGACTCCAGAGGTGTGTTTTGATTTGCATCCAGGCACCAATTACACCGTGAATATCTCCACAGCAGCTTTGGATCTTTCTGTGCTAGTTTCCATGTCAACACCAATTGCTGGTATGTCCTGTTATTTGTTTTTTTTAAACAAAATGACCACTGGAGTGTGAGCACTTAGCCTAGGTAGCAATATTAGCAACTAATTTGAACTGTCTCTCAGTATAGATTATTGGAAAAACTGCCTTATGCTCAAAACCTGTAATCTAGTTATGATAGATTTCATGCTGTTTCTTGTTGAATCAGCAAATCCCAAAATACAGGGACAGTATCGTGTGTTTTGAAATGTCACTTCAGCTTCGCAGGGGTAATTGGAGAGGAAGGATAGGTGAGGAAGGATAGCCTGGAACTCTGAAAATCTAGTTCAATCCCCTGTCATTTAGTCTCTGTGTACCTCACTTTCCCATATGTACAGTGGGACTAATGGAACTTCTCTGTCTTGCAGGGGTTGAAAGATTGTGAGGTACGTTGATACTATGATAATGGGGTAATAAACAGACAGTACTACCGATGGTGATTTAAAAAAGTTATTCCAGCAAAAAGGCACTGTTGGCAAAGGAGGAGAAAGAACAAGTTATGCTTCAAGTTTTAATTTAATTTGCTTCCAGAATTTTTTTTCTCCATAAAGAAGACTGCACTACAGCTGGAACCTAGAACCTGGCACTCTTTGGTCTGTCAAAATCCAAGGTCCGGCATGATTTCAATGAGCTGGATGTCCACTTATCATATGTTTGGTCAAGTTTCCCATGGTTCCATAAAGTTTGCAGCCACTAGTCCTGGTTCTCAGTGTTCTGTGCTGTTATTTAACTCTAATTTACCCCTAAATGTCTTCTAAGAGCTCAGCAAGCAGTGGCCATGTAGGTCATGCTGCGAGACAATATTGACCATCTGTGGTTTTTGCAAATTCTCTGGTTCTGCACTGGTCAGTTCCCAAAGGTGCTGGGACTCGAGAGGTTCAATCTATAGTAAAAATCTTCAGCCTCTGAGCCTATTTTGATTTAAGTGAGGTCATTTTTGTATCTTTCCTATGCTGAAAAACTTCTGTGTTAGAGTTAAAAACCAAAACCAGTGAAACACTAGCATTGATGTTGGCTCTAATTCTCTTTGTTTTGGCAGCAGATGGATGAGACAGATGAAACCTAGCAAGCTCTTTGAATTTTGTAACTGTGCTCAGCCACTAGGTGCAGCTGTTTATCTGCTGAATGTCTAATGAAGAAGGGAGCCTTTTATGTGGTATTTTCCAAATCATGAATGATTCAGTACTTTTTAAACAGCAAATCTACGCTTTTAAGATGTCACAGAAGGGGCGAAAATCTTTTCCTTGTATACAAAAGTTATTGAGTAGGGCAGACAGTGTTCTGGATTGCTTGTGCAATGTACCGGAATTATTAGATGACTTCTGCTTAGAAATTTCCTGTCATTCAAAATTACATGAACAGACACAGCAATTCAGTATCTTGTTAAAACAAAGCATGTACCAGAATGTAATTGATTGGGATGCTTTTGAATGGCCACTATTATAACCTGTAGGCATTCCCCTTTTTTCATTGTCATCCTGTCATAATTCACTGATGTATGCGAGAGTGGACCAGGATGTTCCTTGTACAGAAGACCTAGAATACTTTCTAGATGGTGCTGCATGACTGAGGTTGATGCTTTGGTAATTTGCATGTTTTCCTTTGAGTTGAGTTAGTAATGAGTAAACTGCACCAACCTAGTTCTGGGTGAGATAGCTAGAGAGCCCTGCGTACATACAAACTGACATCTGCATCCACGGCTATAAATTTGTGTCCACACGGGGCGTTAGTTAACTGGTGGAGAGACACAAAAACTTCATCATGTCTGCTTCTCAAGCAAGATCTCATTGCTTTGTGCTAAGATGAGAGAATCTAGAGCATTTATAAATCTCATTCAGGAGATCTGAAGCCAGGGTTGGTCTCCTGACAGACATGATTCATTATGCTTATAGTGAGATGTGTGTCTAGGCAAAAAATCAGAATGTAGCAGCTTGCTGCTTTCCTTACCATAGACAGCCTGGCAAGCACATTCCTTTTAAGATAACTTTGTGATGTGCCTGTTATAGTTCTTGTCTCCTGGCCAGTACAGGTGCTCTATTGAGTGCCTCACAGAGCACTGATATTTCCAGGAGTGTCCTCCTTTTGCTGCCCTTTATGCCCTTCTGGCTTGCATAACAGTCCTCACCATGGGCTTACATGAGATGGGAGCTTGAGTCATGAAAAATGGTTGAGCAGTTGTTGCCTTATATCAGTTTTAAAAGACTGGTAATGTAAGCTTTCTCTATTTTGGAAGGAAAGACAGCTTGTGTCTGCTTGTCCTGCTCCCTTCCATCACACCTCCCACAAAAAACAAACAAACCTGTCACCGTTGTGGGCAAGAGGTTTAAAACACACAAAAGGAAGTATTTTTTCACACAACGCACAGTCAGTTATCTCCCTGCCAGAGGATGTTGTGAAGGCCAAGACAATAACAGAGTTTAAAAAAGATCTAGATCATAGACTACTAAAACTGGAAGGGACCTTGAGAGGTCATCAAGTCCAGTCCCCTGCCCTCATAGCAGGACCAAGCACTGCCTAGGTCATCCCTGATAGATGTCTATCTAACCTGCTCTTAAATATCTCCAGTGATGGAGATTCCACAACCTCTGTAGGCAATTTATTCCAGTATTTAACCACCCTGTCAGTTACGAAGTTTTTTCGAATGTCTACCAACCTAAACCTCCCTTGCTGCAATTTAAGCCCATTGCGTCTTGTCCTATCATCAGAAACAAAACTGAATAATTTTTCTCCCTCCGCCTTGTAACACCCATTTAGATACCTGAAAACTGCCATCATGTCTCTTCTCTGTCCTGCTCCCTTCCATCACACCTCCAGTTTGCTTGTCCTGCTCCCTTCCATCACACCTCCCACAAAAAACAAACAAACCTGTCACCGTTGTGGGCAAGAGGTTTAAAACACACAAAAGGAAGTATTTTTTCACACAACGCACAGTCAGTTATCTCCCTGCCAGAGGATGTTGTGAAGGCCAAGACAATAACAGAGTTTAAAAAAGATCTAGATCATAGACTACTAAAACTGGAAGGGACCTTGAGAGGTCATCAAGTCCAGTCCCCTGCCCTCATAGCAGGACCAAGCACTGCCTAGGTCATCCCTGATAGATGTCTATCTAACCTGCTCTTAAATATCTCCAGTGATGGAGATTCCACAACCTCTGTAGGCAATTTATTCCAGTATTTAACCACCCTGTCAGTTACGAAGTTTTTTCGAATGTCTAACTTAACCCTCCCTTGCTGCAATTTAAACCCATTGCTTCTTGTCCTATCATCAGTGGTCAAGGAGAACAATTTTTCTCCCTCCTCCTTGTAACACCCTTTTAGGTGCTTGAAAACTGCTATCATGTCCCCTCTCAGTCTTTTCTTTTCTAAACTAAGCAAATCCAGTTCTTTCAGTCTTCCCTCAAAGGTCATGTTCTCTAGACCTTTATCTTTTTTTTTTTTTTTCTTCTCTGGACTCCACACACAAAAGGAAGTATTTTTTCACACAACGCACAGTCAGTTATCTCCCTGCCAGAGGATGTTGTGAAGGCCAAGACAATAACAGAGTTTAAAAAAGATCTAGATCATAGACTACTAAAACTGGAAGGGACCTTGAGAGGTCATCAAGTCCAGTCCCCTGCCCTCATAGCAGGACCAAGCACTGCCTAGGTCATCCCTGATAGATGTCTATCTAACCTGCTCTTAAATATCTCCAGTGATGGAGATTCCACAACCTCTGTAGGCAATTTATTCCAGTATTTAACCACCCTGTCAGTTACGAAGTTTTTTCGAATGTCTAACTTAACCCTCCCTTGCTGCAATTTAAACCCATTGCTTCTTGTCCTATCATCAGTGGTCAAGGAGAACAATTTTTCTCCCTCCTCCTTGTAACACCCTTTTAGGTGCTTGAAAACTGCTATCATGTCCCCTCTCAGTCTTTTCTTTTCTAAACTAAGCAAATCCAGTTCTTTCAGTCTTCCCTCAAAGGTCATGTTCTCTAGACCTTTATCTTTTTTTTTTTTTTTCTTCTCTGGACTCCCTGCAATTTCTCCACATCTTTCTTGAAAGGTGGTGCCCAGAACTGGACACAATATTCCATTTGAAGCCTAATCAGTGCAGAGTAGAGTGGAAGAATTGCTTCTCCCGTCTTTCTCACAACGCTCCTGTTAATGGATCCCAGAATCCTGTTTGCTTTTTTTTTTTCCAACAGTGTCACATTGTTGACTCTTGTTTAGATATATTCTTGGAGATAGGTCCGTTTATTGCTGATAGCCAGGTTGCTGTTCCTCGCCTGTTTTGTTAAGACTGGGAATGGCGACAAGGCATGGCTCGCTTGATGATTACCTGTTCCGTTCATTCCCTCTGGGGAACCTGACATTGGCCACTGCCAGAAGACGGAACACGAGACTAGATGGACTTTTAGTCTGACCCAGTATGGCCATTCTTATGTTCTTATTTATTATTTCTCTGTCAGAGTTACTGATTGTGTGTAGTTCCACACGTGTTCTTCACTTTCGTAGATCATTTGTGAAGAAGATCTCCTAGGTAAAACATTATCACTGACTCGTTCTGAATTTAAGAAATGTCTTTCTTTTATGAATGCTCTCTGGCATCCGAGAAATGTCTAAGGAGAATTTAAGAAATACTGGGCTTAAATGACTGAGCACAGCAGGGATATACATCTTATGTTGGTGGGAGTCTATGCTGAGCAAATAGATGCATCCTTCTGATAAAGAGAAGGCAAGATGGCCTGAAAAGCACAAGTTTCCTGCCATCTAGAGAAATTCAGGGGGGAGGGATAGCTCAGTGGTTTGAGCATTGTCCTGCTAAACCCAGGGTTGAGTTCAATCCTTGTGGAGGCCATTTAGGGATTTGGGGCAAAAATTCATCAGGGGTGGTACTTGGTCCTGCTGTGTAGGCAGGGGACTGGACTCGATGACCTTTCAAGGTCCCTTCCAGTTCTAGGAGATAGGCAATCTCCTTTAATTTTTATTTTATTTTAAATACAGAT